TTGTTATTAGTCTATTTTTTGTAACTTAAACTTGCTAAACAAAGCATGATGCCACTATTTAGATCTCCATGTCTATATAAGTAATACCATCTTTCCTACATATTTTCACGACTTTATACACATTTCACATGGTTTTAAAACCCGCAGCATCGCGCAGGCACCATTGATAGTATTGTTCTAAAGTTCCACACACTTAACTCACGAAAAAGCAAAGAAAGGAACACATATAGCATACAAGAGGTTATTAGCATATATTTTAGACATAAAATTCAGCACAAGACATTTTGGAGCTCACAAGTACGCCTAATCCAATCTTGAAAACAACAAATGAAAGCATTACAAGATAACAAAACAAAAAAAAGCCAGTTTACACAAAGGCATTCAGCTTTTTTCAGATGCAAATGCATCCCACGTAAGACATCTTCTATAGTCTTAAACAACAGAATATCTGCATATCTATGAAGTAAAATAACCTGCAAGGAAACCAACAACGGAAAAACATGACGAGGTGCCCTAATGCTTAACAAATTCTTAATTCATACTGTATATTATTGCAGTAATTGGCTACACTTTGTTACTGAAACTCATTCAATTTAAGTGAATTACAACAAAAACAAAAAAAAAACCCTATTATGATACATTTGGTCATAGATTTTTCTCTTTAATATATGTTGGAGTAGTCGAATTTACAATTTGAATATTTCACTTCAAACCTCTCCTTTATAACCTATATTGGACCCAAAAACCTCCTCTCAACCAAAATAAATAAATAAAGAAGATATAACTGGACTATAAGCTGTCTTTGAAGCATGTAATTAATCGCTAATAACAAGTCAAGAAGCTAGGTGTACCCAACATAAGATGTTAAACAGCAGCGCTCTCGGAAGAGTGTGTGAGATGAGATGGAATGTTAAGAACATGTGGGTAGAACTTGCCCCTAAAAACCGGCTTTGAAGGGAAGGGTGCCCATGAGCTCTTGAACCACTCTATGATATGCTATTTTTTCAATGTGGGATCTTGAGTCCTAACATGGAACAAGGACAAAAAGATTATATAAATAATATTGTATGTGAAAAGAATAAAAAGATAGATTGCTCCTAACACTTCTTCTATCTAAGTATATTACAAATACAGAACGATCAATGGAAGACTTTCCTTCTAACCTGACCTTCTACTGTTCTGCTGGGTCGAATAGACATGAGGCAAATTAACATAAGTATTGGTTTACAATATCTCTATAAGCATGAAACTTTAGCAATAAACAATTGCAGAACTAGAAAGTAAGTGAGTGAGAGAGAGACAGACAGACAGACAGAGAGAGCAGATTTTGTCTTCTTTTGTAAATGTGGATAAGTGATTTTATGCCAGAAACCTATTTTGCATACAGAAGTTTAAACCCCTGAGAAATAATTGGCTCAATATTTATCAGGAAAGTTAGGGCCTGTCTGGTATCTGATTTGAGTCTAATTTTATAAACTCAAAAAAGATTTTAAATTCAAAAGCCCAAAAACTCGTTTGGTAGGCCTATTTTTAAAAACCCAATCCCAAAACAAACTTAAAAAGACCCCTATTGTTAAAAACAAAACAAATGCGTTTTTCTTGAATTTTTTTTTTCGCGTTCGCTCTGCGCTCAAGCTTCAAGCTTCCATGGGAGAAGCTTGAAGCTCGCTTGCTCCCCATCTCTCCATCTCTCTCTTCGTCCTTCTCTCTCTTCGTCACTCTCTCTCTACCTCCCTCTTCCTCTCTCTCATCAGTTCAAATCCTAGAAATTGGGGATTTCCAAATCAAAGGTTAGTTTGCTTTTTCTATTCCTTTTGTCTTTTGGTTTCTAGAATTTTTTGGATAGCTGGGTTTTGTTTGTTGGTAATGTGAGTTTCTGTTTAAATTTGATAATGGGTTTCTTTTGTCTGGTAGATAGAACCACCTTGCTTATGGATACCAAGGGCTTTCAAGGTTGAGAGGTACAAAGACAAAGAAATCTATGGGGTTGAAGTTGAAAAGGGAGATTCTAGTGGATCCAAAGATCTCGACCGTCGTAGCAAGGTTTGACGACAATCATCTCTCTTTCTAATTTTACAATCTGTTTGGTTGATGAGAACATTTTACAATCTCTCTTTCTCATTTTATTTTTATTCAGTATATTGTTCTTTGATTTTATAATCAGACGTATGCTTATGAATGGGCAGATTTGCTTCTCAACTGTTCTCCATTTCTTCTATTTTACTCTCTTGTCAAACACTTAAACCACGGTTATGTTTTGTCTCCTTTTGATCATTGTGTATCCCCAACTGTGCACTTACTGATGTATTGATACTGTTCAGTTACCACTATATCTGTGTTACCTTTAGAGAAAGGCAGCTTAGGTAAAAAGGAGATTAGTAATGATGTTAGTGTAACGCACATACAGAAACTGAAGAGAAAAAAAAAAAACTGTGTCGCACAACTTGTGTTCGACATTGAGGGGCTTGGATTTCTTACAAGATGATAGATCAATTTGTGTCGAGGAGTCAGTGTGCATGTTTTTGCATACTATTGGGCATACAACTCGTAATAGGATGATTGCTGAGAAATTTCAACATTCTAAAGAAACCGTGTCTAGACAGTTTAACAGAGTTCTCAAAGCAATATGTCGACTTGGTACTCAAATAATTCAACCTCCAAATATGGATGTGACACCTCCTGAAATCATAGGGAATCCTAATTACCACCCTTGGTTTAAGGTAAATGTGATTAACTTAACTACTTTTGTTTTCTCACTACTACAAAAACTGAAAAAGACGACCAAAAAAAGACCGCGGTAGAACAAAAAACCGTCGTTGTTTTTAAAAAGACGACGGTAACAAAAAACCGTCGTGGATAAGTGACTTAAACAACTAAAAAACGGAGGTACTGTTGTATATTTTTTTATAATGACACACACAAATAAAAAAGCGTCGTCTTATTAAAAAGGTTTTCTTCAGAGTTAAAATCTGACCAAAAAACAACGACAGCAAGTATGACAAGCGTGGTCTTTTAAAAATCAAGTGTCCTTTTTTTGGTAAAGACATGGTTGTTTTGAAAGAACTGTCGTCTATTGTATGTAAAGACGACGGTTTTTTTTAAAAAGGGTCGTCTATTTTATGTGAAGATGACGGTTGTTTTTAAAAAGGGTCGTCTATTGTGTGTAAAGACGACGGTTTTTTTTTTTTAAAAGGTCGTCTATTATATGTAAAGATGACGGTTTTTTTTAAAAAAGCGTCGTCTTTGAAAACACGCTAAAAAAAGGCCGCTTAAGTGAATTCGCGCTCGACAAATTTTCAAATTTTCCCCCGTCTTTGAAAACCTTATCTCTCATTAACAAGCATCGTCTTTTAAAACACGCTAAAAAAAGGCCGCTAAAGTGAATTCGCGCTCGACAAATTTTCAGATTTTCCCCCGTCTCTGAAAACCTTATCTCTTCCTCCTTGAAACCCTCCCGAGCTCTCTAAAACACCCTCGCTTGCTCAAACACTGTATTATCTCAAATTCTCTCATGAACCTTTCAGAAAACCCTCTCTCACACATCAATGAAGCACATCTCCCTCTCGCTGTCCACCGAACTAGCCGAGATCGCCATCTCCGTCACGATGTTTAGGACACAGAGTTCGCCAAGATCGCCATCTCCATCACACCATTCAGTCCATCGAGCTTGCCCCGTTCACCATCTCCCTTCCTCGTCGCGACCATTTTTAAGCCCCCAAGTGGATTCTCATCTTCCATTTTATGAGCTTTAGATTAGATTTTCTTCCTCGTTGACCAGAAAGGTACGAAGCTACTTTTCTAGGGTTAGCTTAGGATTCTTCTGATTTGATTTCAATTTTTATTTTTTCTTGTTTATGATGGTTGTGTGTCTGAGATATAGGGCTACGATTTGTTTGTTATTTAATTTCAGTGTGTATTGATGTATTTTTTGTGGTTGGATCTGACTTGATTTAAGCTGTATATAGTTCAATTGTTGCATTTTTTTTAACCTTTTTGCTTTTATTTTGTTCAAAAATTCTAGTTCATATGTTTTTTTATTTTGTATATCTGACTATTACATTATTTTGGCTTGTTAAGCAGTTTCCTAGCCCATGGAAGTGGTTCTAAAGAAGGTACTCCTAGTGGTAAAAGTTGAAGAAATGCAAAGGAAAATTGGTGATGATGAATGTATAGCTCTGTATACATACGGAGAACTTGACTTGAAGGATAATTAGGTATAGGAATTTTGGTGTATTATTGTAATTAGGCTTGCAGCTTGCAGCTAGCGGCCTTACAGTACTTTCATTTTTTAGATTTTATTTTGTTCTATTGTACTCTTGATATTCTGTTTATGAAAAAAACAATTTTTTAGTATATATATGTATGGCGTGGGTAATAGCATATTTGAGTATATATTTCTGATACCATTTGAAACAAGAAAAAAAAACTAAAATGTAAAATTATGTTAGTTTTATAGTTAATAACCGTCATCTTAGAGTTAATAAACGGCAATATTTCAAGAAACTGTCGTCTTTACATTTAATAGATGACGGTTTTTAAAACAAACCCGACGTTTTGGATATAATAAACAACTTCTTTACATATAATAGACGACGGTTCTTTAAGAAAACCATCGTCTATTATATATAATAGACGACGTTTCTTTCAGAAAACCGTCGTCTATTATATGTAAAGACGACGGTTAATTACCGTCGTAGTTTGACATTTAAAAAGATGACAGTCGATTTAACGACGGTTTGAAAAAGAAAAAGACGACGGTGTTTTCCCGTCGTCTATTTCAATTTTTGTAGTAGTGTCTTCTTATTATATAGTTAAGTACTGACATGTCATGGTTTAATTGTCACTTGGTAGGATTGTATTGGTGCTATTGATGAAACACATATCAGTGCATGGGCTCCTGCATCAAAACAAATTCCATATCGAGGCAGAAAATTTGAGGCGACTCAAAATATTATGTGTGCATGTTCGTTTGACATGTTGTTCACATATATTTACATGGGATGGGAAGGAACGGTAATGACTCAAGGGTGTTGATGGATGCAATAAGTAGAGAAGAGAACAACTTCCCATTGCCTAAAGAAGGTATGAAATTATTTAAACATATTGACTTACAATATATATTTTTAATACTATATTTAAATGGAGTAAAATACTTATATTAATTGTTCTTAAATAGGAAAATATTATCTTGTTGATTCTGGTTATGCAAATATGCGTGGGTTTCTAGCACCATATCGTGGAGAGCGTTGTCACTTGCGTGATTATAGAGGGAGAGGTAGACATCCAAGGGGGGCAATGGAATTGTTCAACTATAGGCATTCATCACTGCGTAACGTTATTGAAAGATGCTTCAGAGTGCTCAAGGCTCGCTTTCCTATTTTGAAGTTAATGCCAAATTATCCAATCAGGAAACAAAGACGTATTCCCGTTGCTTGTTGTACCGTGCATAACTTCATTAGAATGCAATCGAGAAATGACATCATATTTCATCAATATCAAGCCAATGATCTTCAAGTGGTAGATGAAGAAAGCTCTGAAGTGAATCAAGAACACATCCATTTGCATGAGGACAATGCTAATGAAATGAGTGATGCTAGAGATCAAATTGCCGGAGCAATGTGGATGGATTATATTCATAATCATTAGTCTTATAATTTATTTAGTCTAGAATGCTTTAATTTAATATGTATTATTTTAGACTTGAAGACCAATTGAGCTTGTCGATCATGCATGTATGGTATTAAAATATGGATGTTAAAATAGTATGTTTAATATAATTTTGATAATGTTTATTAAAATATTTTAATTATAAAAAATGAAGAAAAAAATTATTTTCAAGAATTCAACCAAACAAGTTTTCAAATTTTAAAGATTCAAAAACAATTTTCAAGTTGCATACCAAACAACTTTTTGAATAAAAAAATAAATTTGAGAACTCCTTGTTTTTAAGAAAAATAACGATTTTGAGTTCTCTACTTGGATAGGATACCAAACAGGCCCTTACCTTCACGATTGATTAATTAGTACTTGTATCCACTCTGTCTTCTCAACATCAGGAAGAGATTTCAGTAGAGAAAATTCTTCGGGATTACCACTCAGTAATATGTGTACAGCCTTAAAATTTTGCAATCTACTAAGGTTCCGTATCTTTGAAACTACTTCAAGTAGCTCCTCTCTTATGAGTTGCGGTTTCATTTGACTTGCTGAAAACTCCTTTGGTGAGTTTGCCGCTACACCAGTTGCCTGTGCCAAAGGATCTTTTTTTGCTTTCTTATTTGGCTCCAAGTCGGAAGCTGAATTTGATGGATGTGTAGAAGTATACGAGTTAGGATTCATATTGTGATCATTTCCTAGTTTAACCTCCTTTTTTTCTTCAGCAAAAGCAGAGGGAACGTAAACATCAAAAAGAGGGAAAAGAACATTGGAGAAATGATTGTTTTTCTCATAGAACCAAGGTAAACAGAAGATCAAAGATATTAAAACTCACGGATTATTTCTAACAAGCACAGAGATAAAGTAAACATCTAACTCCATTTGAACTATAAAGCATAAACAACATCGACTAACGCTGCAAAGGAGAACAGGGTGACTAGTACAACCACAAGGACACAAGATGTGTTGGAGTTCATAATCACATGTAGAAGCAGTTCATTTTTATTACACATCGAATCAACAATACTTTAAATCAAATCACCTTTGAGAAAACGAAGATAAAGGGCAGCTCCTTTCAAAGTTCATTCGTATATAAAATAATACATATATAACCTGAAACAGAGCTTATCTTCTAAACGTTTGTTGTACTTACCAGTATATACTAAATTGCTAATCACAGAAGCATTCTGTGTTTTTCACCAGTTACTATGCCCCTAGTAAAAACCTAACAATTTTCTTACCAGCTGCACGAAGAGCAATCCTAATTTAAGCTTAATGTATATGCAATCCTAATTTAAGGGACCATAACTTTTAGGAAGCCTCATTTATAAACGCACTCAGACCACATATTAAGTAACATCTATCTATTAATTTGATCAATCTCTTGGCACCATGTACATTTTTGTTGGTGCAACAGAAGATAAACATAGTTTTTTTTACTATGTGCACAGAAGCCAGATACCACCCCTGAGAACCCCATTGCATCCGCTAACATGCCAGCACCATGCAAATTCATTATAAAAATAATAGAGCAAACGGAAAGAGGGTCACAAACCCAGATATCTATAAACAACCCAAATAGAAACATTACGGAATAAAAACAGTGACATAAACCAACAAAAAAGAGCTACATCGCAATTACGTGAGCTACATATTAAAAATTTACTCAACCCTACAACTAGGAAAATTCTTTTGAAGCTTGTGGGCGCTAGATACTGCGTACTTAACATGTATATTTGAAAATATAAGATTAAATAGAATTCCTATTAAAATCCTGTTTGGGCCTAATTTCCGCGCGCCAGCCCATCTGGCTATTGGGCCATATCGATGGTAGGGGTTTGAGCTTTGTTTAACCAAAATTGGAAGTCAACCCAGGGTGTTTTTAAAAGCCCAGACCCGACCATTTCGAAAAAGGGGAAATGGAATCGAACCAATCGCAAAATAAATCTTCACAGGATAAAGGTTAATTGCCATTAAATGGTGATTCAAAACTGAAAAAGCCAGATTTAATTGGTTTAGTTCCTACCCAGCTTCCAAATTATATTCTCAAAGGTTCAAAAGTTTGATCATCACCGTTGATTGCCAATTCAAAACTAAATCAGGAGATAAAGGGGAGGATTTTCTCTCCACAATACCCACGTGATCCCAATGACACGACATCAATAGGAAAAAGGCAGAGGACATCCAGGGGAGTTGGTAGAAAGGTGAAATAAAAAACCACTCCCTATAACCATTAAATGCCAGAAAAGAAGGCCAAATTTCCTTCCCATACTCGTGAAGATCTCGTCAGTGCAAACTTGGTTTACAAGAGACAAACAAGAAATAAGAGAGTTGGTTATTAGAAGGTCAAAACTGATCATCATGAAAATTGACTCTTGATGGGGGCTTTTCTTGTCAGAATAACTACTACCCTTTTTTTGCTGGAGCAGAGAAACCTCTCAACAAGTATACTCCAGATATTAAGTAATAATCACTCATGCAGATTTCCTATAAAGATGGGAGGATGTGAACTGGATCAAGGACAACAAAAATTCCAATCAAAACAAAAATTCTCAGTCATACTGATAAAATCAAGCAAGATCACACGATCCCAAAAATTTTCAAACTCTGAAGCAATCAAGCTCTTTGGTTTGTAAAAGCCATCCAGCTTCTGACAAAACAGGCAGAACTCAAATTTTTGACTTCGGTTCAGTTCAAAGAAGCGGTTCACAAAGGAAACGAGATTTCTCTCTTTACAAATTTGGTTCAGAACAGGTGAATCAAGTCGAGTTCGGGTTTTTCATAATATGAAAACCTCAACAAATTTTCAGAGATACCTTGATGTCTAAGAATCACTAGAATAGTTCTCAGGTGATCCACAATTAAGCAGAACATGTACTGAAGTGCAATTCCAGGCCAGCAATCGTCAATCTAGCCACTTCCAATCCAGTCCAGACCGGAGAGATCATAGTTCTGCCCACTCGACAAGCCTCTCCATGGCTAAATCTGATTAGTTGAGGGTGCTGATGTACAATTTCAGCACAGATATATTCAATCCAGCCTAAGTCATGGACAACAATCCAAGCAAAAATCGAAGCCCAATTTTCTGACGTCCTTCCGGACGCGGTTTTTCTTTTGTTTAATTATGTAATAGACAGTTCTCTTTGAACTAGTTCATTTTATTTTTCAACATTTTGGTTAGACTTACTAGTTTTAATGTGGGAAATTATAAAGTCCTCACCCGTCTGAGGCAAGAAAAGAACTTACTTGGGAGATATTCCTCACCCAAATTCATAATCACTTGATCAAAATCAATAGCTTGGGGTGCAAGTTATTATATTTCATAATCTGTTAGGTTTTTTAACCGTTAATAGTGGCATGCTCACATACAAAAGAAAGTTGACTTGTTGACCGTCAATGGTTTTCGGGTCAATGTGGAACTTTACCCTACCACCACAAGAACTACATCAAAACGGGTAACCAAATCCAAAACAAGGTAAACGTAAAGTGGTCGCTGCAACTGAAAACAGAAACCACACTAAGATCTGTCTGCCGCGCAAATCTCACAGCCTGGAGTTCCGGGCCGAGGGGATATGCGTTAACACGCGGTTTCCTGCTTTTGAGTGCGGTGCGGTTTGTGCGCGGGCGTGCCAGCACGGTCTACCGTGCGTCGATGTATCGATGAGTGTTGGATGGTTGAGTGGTGCGCCTGTTTGAACTCGTCTTCCTAATCAAACGATTGTAGCCGAGTGAGGAACTGGTCTCGGCTGTTAGGTTCACGGCCTGAACTACAAGGCCGTTGAGTGATGGTGTAGGTGGTGGGTTTTGGGCGGTGCTCCGGCGCGCTGCTCAGGGAGCGACGGTCGTATGATATATGGGGTGAGTGAACGAACAACAAGGATGGTGCTCCGGCGCCTTGAAAATCAAGGGTCGTATGATATATTGATGAATGGATTTTC